TCCATCCATCCATCCATCCATCCATCCATCCATCCATCCATCCATCCATCCATCCATCCATCCATCCAATTACTGGAGCTTGGGTTGTTTTTGGTGTTTCTATGTCAATAAATACTTTTCTAGATACAGTTCAAGGATATTTATTTTAGGAACAACAGCAACAAAAGATTTTTGGTTTGAAAAATCGGTGTTTTTTTTGTGGACAAGGCCTTAAAGCGCTCCATTTAAAACACGTAACAGAAAGCAGCGTATGATGTGCGAACAGGTCAGTGAGAAACATTTAAAAGTGTTTTACAGAACCTGGAGCCAAATCAGTGTTTTATAAATGTGGACCACTGAGCCTGTGTCATTTCACTGAGCTAATTAAAAACAGAAAAACAAAACTAAAATGAAAGTTTAAACACTACAGAACATTTCAAACGCAGCTTGAGGTCTCAGACCTCCTCGCAGGAAGTCTCGTGCGTTACTTAAACACAGTCCACTCAGATTCCAAATAACTTTGTCGAGATTCCAGCTTTTGTTTGGCACAAACCAGATGTAGATCGTCCCACTGCTCTGAAGGCTGAAAATGATGCTAAGCAGGATTTCTCTGTTAGACCCTGCAGCTCCCGACCCAGAATCAATGTGCGATGAGTTCAGGGTGTGAAAGATCATTTTATGAACCAACACCAGACACGTTGTAACTTTTATTACAACGGTTGACGTGAACCAAGTTTTCATTTGATTCCATCTGTCGAATTCCACACCAAAGTATTAAAACAATGAATAGATTAGTAAAAACTAAAAATCCAATAAAAAGAATTATAAACTAACGGCTGCATTCAGATGAAAAACAAACAATAAAATATTACACACAAAACCACAAAGTGTGCTTAGTTTTATTTAAGAATGCACGATAATTGAATGAATATGTGCTTCAAATTCTAAACAAAAAGATCATCAGTGCCAAAACAAATTGTCAAACTTATTTGTATTAACTGTGTGATCTTGCTTTATGGAATATTCCCACATATACAACAGGGATTTATACATTTTATGATTTAAGTGGGTCCAAATGGGTTTGCCTACAGCACAGTTCTGGCTGTGAACAATTAATATTCAGTCAAAAGACCGAAGCTGGGCAAAGTGCCAACTTCACACAGAACAAAAAGGAAAAGGCAGAGCTGCAAACAAACATTTTATTTGGGTTTTAAAAGTCTCTCTACCAGTGGTTAGTGTGTGTTTGCCCTCAGTGTGTAAATTAAAGGACACATGAAGGTTGCTTTAAATCTCAGGAAAACCTGTTGAATTAAAGAACACTGCTTGGTGAAAATAATTAATTCAAAACTGCAAATAAGTTCTGTAAACAAGAGCAGTTTAAAAAAGACCCAATCTATTGTGCAAAACAGAGTTGTCTTAAAACCCTTTAGTTGAAAATGTTTGCATCTGCCACAGGAAAGAAAAAGAACCAGCTTTTCACAGTTATTGCTAAATAAACACAGTTTTCTGTTTGCCATTCTTCACATCAAGTGGGGCGGCTGTGGCTGAGTGGTTAGAGCAGTCGTCCTCCAATGCAAGGGTTGGGGGTTTGATTCCACCAGCAGTCACATGCCAATGTGTCCCTGGGCAAGACACTGTCATACCTCTGATGCGAGTCCCATAGGTGTATGAATGTGATCTAAAGCACTGATTATTCTTTATATAGCTCTAGTAGAGTGCTGTATGAATGGGTAACTGAGGGCACATATTGTGTCGCAAAGAGCTTTGAGTGGGCGTGGCCAAGAGCGCTTGCAGGTGACAAAGAGCAGAGGAGGCAGGGAGCTGAAATCATGACATTCTGTCTTTTTTTAGAGAGTTTAGAAACATTGTTTAGAATATTGCAAGAATGTGGGAAGAGTTTAAAACACCTTATATATATATAAACAACAGGAAAGTTACGTATGACAATTTGATACGTGACTGTCTAAGCACAGTTTATACAGGAAGTGTTGATTAGTGAGTGAATGCAGCTGGGATGGTTACAGATTATTGACCTGTGTGTATGACAAGGCAAACAGGGAAGCTGAGGAAAAACACTGACTGGAAACAAGAAAAACACAACCTGAAAACGCCAGCTGTGAAACAAAACACAGAAAAACAGAAACGATTCTGACGAGAGGTAACTTACAGGAACACTGATACTTAAATCCCAAACAGAAACTCATAATTAAACCCACAAAACTAAAATAACGGTGGCAAAATGGAACATAAATTCTGATGCATCTAAAAATTAACGTGGTCAGTTTTAATTTCAGAAAAGATGAATGCATAAAAATCCATGAGTGGACTTCAGTGTAAGAATAATAAAAAATAAAAAAAAAGATCTGAATCAGTTTCTTAAGTTTTTGTATTAACGTCTTCACAAAGTCAAAGAAAAAGTGATCAGAATTGTGATGTCATGATTATATGGATGCTGGAAAGCGGTTGAAGGCCTCGTCATGGCTCTGCTTTAATGTCCGGAGGAGTTTGTTTGTGCTGAAAGTCTAAACAGCTGCAGCAGCTCGATGTTTCCATAATGTGGGTTGGCCCTCAGGACTGATTTAAACACTTTCACACTTCTTCTTCCTCTTCGTGAGCAAATCCCACCAACTTTTTAATATCCTCCTTCTGCTGTGCTCACTTTTCTCAACCAGTCCCTCCCCCCCATCCTCTCTGTCGCTATGACTCATCGCCTGTAC